GAAACGAATGCACCCACCAGCACGGATACAGGTGGGTCAGGGGAGCCTGTGGGGGAGAGCGGAGGGGGAGAACAAGTCCCCCAAATCACACGAGCCCCTGAGCAGGGTACAGCCCCCCCCAAATATCAAATACAGCCTGAGCCTCCCCACCCAAACCCCAGAAATCTGAATCTCTGCTCTCTGCCCAGGCCAGGCTGTGGGGTGGGCTGTGCAGAGCGGTGCTGGGAGGGGACAGTGCCAGGGGGTTCGGTGCCACCCCAACCCACTCCCAGCCCCGAGGCGATGCCGCGTGGCGGGGGAACGTCTGCTCTTCCTTCGGTGCTTGCAGAGAGCTGGTGATAGGAGCCCTGCCCCACCTCCTGCAGCTGGATGCCCAGCAGGTCCGTGGCAGCATGGGCGAGGAAGAGGAGGAAGGAGGCTCTTCCAGCAGTGAGGACGAAGATGACGAGTCGCTCTCTGAGCCGAGCGGCCCTTTCACTGCAGGCAAAGGTGCCCAGACTGAAGCAGGACACATTGCACACTTGGGGGTTAAGCAGGCCGGTCCCTCTGTCCCCAAGGGTGACAGGAGTGGCAGGGAGCTCGGGTGGCCGTGCCAGGTCTCCTGTAATTCTTCTCCGTCCCTGGCAGATTTCTTTGTGGATCTGCACCGGGAGCTGGCCGGGCGCTCGCGGCGGAGGCGGAGGGAGGCCCTGAAGGAACACCGGACCCGTCTGGAAGAGCTGGAGGAGCTGCGGGAGCGTCGGGGTCTGCTGCTGCCTCCCGCACCGCTGAGCCCAGGCAGGGAGGGAGCAGCCTGCATCACAGCCCCAGGCCCCAAGCGGTCTCAGCCCCGTCCCCAAGCGAAGCCGGGGACGCAGCTGCCACCCCTGCCGGGACCTGGTGGGCAGCACGCCTGCCCACAGCCCCAGCGAGCTCCTGGCAGGAGCCAGCCCCGGACCAAGGCTCTGGAGGAGGAAGCTCGCGCCAAAGGAGCAAGAAATAGGCAGTTACCCCAAATACCCCGCACCAGCACGGCACCGCGCAGTTAGGATTAAAGCCTCTTTATTCCTACACCAATCCGCCTGTCTGCCACGGAGCCCCCAGCCCCGCGGCCGGCCCCGGAGGGGCCGGGCACAGGCAGCTCTGCCTGATGGTGGGAAAAGACACGCTGGGCTGCAGGCAGGACTCCAAATCCCGCTCCACATCCCTCTCCTTCCCTCCGCACCTGCGTTTCAGGCCACGGCCACCTCTCAAAATTCCTCCTGGGGCAAGTTAGGGGGCTGGAGGCTCCGCACTCCTAGGCAGGGCTGGAGATGCCGGTCGAGCCGTTCCCCACCACGCTGTCAGCGGCAGATCCACGGTGGGAGGAGGCGAGGAGCCGGGGCTGGGCACCGGGAAGGTTTTCTCATCCCCTATCCAGGAGCAATGCCGCGGGGGGGCCGAGCCCACCCACCTGTGCAGGGTTTATGTGTAAAACTTCATCTCTGCCTCCACGCAGTCGAAGAAGAGGTCGGCCAGCTCCTCCAGGCGGGGGGCCACCGTCCCCGCCAGCAGCGCGTTCATCCCCTCCAGGCCCTGCTTCTCCAGGTCCCGCAGCGTCTGCAGGAGCTTCTGTCCCCGCTCCTGGCGGGGTCGGGGAGGGAGGAGAGCTGAGACCGGGCGCCCTCAGGGAATTCGACTGCCTCCCACATCACCGGGGGCAGCACGAGGGTCCCGGGGCAGCAGCGGCTGGGGAAGGGTCTGCGGTACCTGGTCCCTCTCCATCAGCTCCAGCGCCGCCTGATGCCGGCGGTAGAGTTCGTGCCGCCGATCGACCGTGCTCTGGAACCGCGGGATCTTCTTGGCGGGGTCGTCACGGAAGGTGGGAGATCTCACCTGCGGCGCGGGCTTGAGGCCGGCCACAAAGACGAAGGGTTTGAAGACGGACCTGCCGGAGAGGAGCATCGGGGCCCTGGGACCGGCCAGCGCGAGGACGGATGCTGCTCCCTGGGGACACTCAGCCCACAGCATGACTCTGCCTCATCCCCGTCACCCCCAAAGCGGGGCTGTCCCTCACCGGCGTCCTCACCTGGAGGGGTCAGGGGTGGCCGTGAAGAAGTGGACACAGGGCAAGGTGGGGTCCCGGGGCAGCACGGACACCATGCTGCCCGCCGTGCGGAAGCCCTCCGAGTCCACGCAGATCCCGCTGGCCTTGTCCCGCAGGATGGCCATGAACGTCTCCGCTGTGATGTGACCTGGCAGGCGAGGCAGAGCCACATCACCACCGGCTGCCGCGGCCACGGGGAGCGTGGAGATGCCAGGGCGAGCCATGGGCAGCCGTCCCCGTCCCCCGTCCCCACCTGCATGCTGCCGCAGCAGCTCCTTGCCGGCGCAGTAGCGGGCCTTGGCAGCCTCCATGCGGGCGGGCTGTTGCGTCAGGGAGAAGACCTCGGCGAAGTTGAACTCGCCATCCCCGCTCCACCAGCCCTGGCTGCAGGCTCGCTGCCGCAGCCCCACGTGCTCGGCCGTGATCTCCCTCCCGATGCTGAGCTGGTTGGAGATGTTGCGGCTACCCTCTGTGAAGGCCGGGGGGGGGTGTGTGTGTCAGGCTGGAGGGGGGACAGGGCTCCCCATCCTCCCGGTACAACCAACGCCCGCTCACCTCGGATCCGCTGGGCTGCCCAGTACCGGCCAGCCGTCTCCAGCACCCAGGCCTCGGCGCGGTCAGCCAGCAGGAAGGTGTTGTGGTAGACAAAGGGCACCGGCTCCTCCTTGCAGCTCCCGCCCTGGCCGTAACGCTCCAGCAACGCCGCGATCACCTCCAGGGCCTCCCGGGCAGAGCTGCCCCGCTCCAAACCCAGCCTGCCACACCGGCAGCACCCCATCAGCCCGCG